GAAGAGGAGGTCTTTTTTGACTTAGTCTTTGCAGTGCCTCGGAGAGACGCTGTTCTAGTAGATAGTTCTTTTTCGGACATTTTTTTTTTTTATTTATTTATTTATTTATTTATTTTTTTTTTTTAAATTACTATTATTATTATTTTATTTTATTTATTTATTATCCCTCAATGTTGTACACTTTTAGGCCGCTTCGACCCCAGCGTTCGATTTCAACGGCGGCGATGACTCATCGCGCGTTGCAAGCGATGAGTGCGCGCTCTGAATGCATTTCTTGTTCGTACCGACGCAATATTTTATTAAATGTATTCCTTAGTAAGTCAAAAATTTCTGCACTGATTTGAAAAATTAAACTTATAAATTGAAGAGTGTTACACTGTTCACTGAATTTCACGGAGAACACTATTTTGATTTCGGTTATAACAGCTTAAGCGGTTTAATAAAACGGAGGGTAACGTAAGTGATCTTGCTTTAACGAGTGCCGCGCGCGAACAAGAGGATCTATACTAATATTATAAAGAGGAATGATTTGTATTTTTGTATGTATTGATATATCTTAAAAACTACTGGGCCGATTTTAAAAATTCTTTCACTGTTAGAAAGGTAACAACTGTGAGAAACATGGGCTACATTTTTTATTATTTTTTAATGTCACGCGGGCGAAGTCGCGAGCAAAAACTAGTAGTTTATAAGAAGAATTTCTAATGAGAACTTTGTTAGAAGTGTTAAAATGATTATTGTATTTCTTGTATTGAATTTGTTAATTCATAAACCTATTTAATTTTGTTGCCTTCATCAAAATGGAGCTATTAATTACATTTATTATGTTTTTTAATTGTACTTTTCTAAAATACAAACTGACATGCGACTTGTGTAGTAATTTATATCCTCGTCAAACGTAAAAAATAAATGTAAAAAAATACTCCACAAGCTTTCAACTTAATACATGTTAATCTGCAAAAATGGAAGTTGCTACGAGCGTACTTACTTCCTACTTAATCGTTAAGTTTTTACTTAAATGTGTAAAGCTTTGCGGGAAAATTTTTGTTCAAAAGTAACTTACGTTCCTCTCGGTTAGTTCACACAATTTATTAAATTGAACATTATAATTTTTATCCTGAAATTTGTATTAACAAATTGTACACTAAGCTTTTTGTAACACGACATTTTTAACCTAACAAATATATAACACGGTATAATTGTGAAAAACAATTTACCGGACTGATAACATATGTTCAAATCCTTCAGCTTAACCCTTTTAGTCCAAATTATTTTAAAAGGCCCAATCATTTTATTGCTGTAGGCGGCCAGAGGGTTAGGTACTCGGCAGCCGGAACCTTAAAAAGCTTACGACGTATGCGATAAAAGCACCAGACATATAAAACGTGCCGGAAAAAATATGTCCGCGAGGTTGGAACGTATTTAATACTCGCGTCACGTTGAGCGGTCGCCGGGGGTTGGTTTATGTCTTGTTGTGTCAGCCGTTGGGCCGTGGGGCGGAGGGGCTGTGGGGTTGTGTGCTGTGGGGCCGTGGGGCTGAAGGGCCGCGGGGCCGTGGTGCTGAAGGGCCGCGGGGCCGTGGTGCTGTGGAGCGGTCGCTTTACATGATAACGACGCACTTAGATGTGCGCGGATTTGGAGCCGTGTGTACGTTGTTATGGAAATTTTGGAGCTTTAACAACACGCCGACTTTGGCAATTTTAATCGCATCATCTTTAGCAAATGTTGATGTTAGGTTTTTGTTTTTATTAAAAAAGACATTGTTCTCCTAAAATCGTTTTAACATGTAGCGATAACATTAGGGAAATACCGAAAAAAAAACACTTTTATTTTATAAATGTGTTTAGGTGGAAATGAATCTTAAAATGGGTCATGAGTACCTTAAATTCAGTTAGTATTTTCACGTCACATGTTATTTGTATTTACTTACATGTCCTTTTACGTATGAACATGTTTTATATTTATCAAATATGTGAAAATGTTCGTGAAATATTGAAGAGTTTGGTCAACACGGCGGCAGAGGGCGGCGGTGGCGAGCGGCGGGTATCGGATACGAAGCAGACAGTTTAAACTGCGCTACTGTTTGTTCAGCTCTCTACATTTCGATACTCCTGTATAACGTGAAATATTATTTTACATATCTACATAATTTACTAAAGGATGGATACGTTAGGAGGTTGTCATAAGTTGTTGCAGGTCTTAGTGTCATTTTATTTATAATATCTCTTTCTATTACAGTCACATAACGCGTACGGCGAGCTGGTTGCCGCCCGCGGAGAGCTGGCCAAGCGGGGCGAGCGCTGCGTGTGGCGCCCGAGCGGAGGCTGAGGAGCCAGCGGAGGGCGAGGACCTACCCTACGGTTGGGAACAGGCCCTCGACAGCAGGGGCAAGCCTTACTACATCAAGTAAGATGTTACACTTACTCCTTTTCATCTCCCTTTTGAGTTGAAACTAGTTTGCCTTTCTGATTGTTAAATTGACCGATCAGTAAGTCGACAATTCAATGTTCTCGCAGTGGAAACAAAGTTCTAAAAAGCTCAAGCTAATCTAGCGTATTATTACTTATCTTGTCGACATACATAAAAATCCTCGTACAGCGACATCTATCAGTTATAAGTGTAAACTGTTCGCTATTCCAGTCATGTGAACAAAACGACGACGTACGTTGCACCTGAAGGATGCGGGTGCGAGTCTCCGCCCGCGCCGCGAGATGTCGTGCTGCAGCGGGACCCGGACCTTGGCTTCGGCTTCGTCGCCGGTTCGGAGAAGCCCGTCCTTGTGCGTTTCGTCACCGACAACTCGCCCAGTGTCGGCAAGGCAAGCACTATTATTTTTTCTTTGTTGTTATTACGAAACTTGTAAGCACAGAAAAAGTAAAGGGATATCAACTAATGACCGCTAGTTAAACGGGAAATTATTAATACAAAAAATCTAAGAATCTAATTGAAAGTTTTTATAAGGACACTTGACTGATCTGACGAATCCGAATTCTTGCCTGGCCTGGTTAAACGGATTTATGATATCTTCTATCATTCATTCTAGTTTCATTATTGATGTTCCAGTTGGAGCCCGGCGATCAGATCCTATGCGTGAACGGCGAGGACGTGCGTCTGGCGGCGCGCGAGCACGTCATCTCCGCAGTGCGGGCGTGCTCGGAGCGCGTCACGCTGCGTGTCTGTCAGCCGGCGCGCACCGGCAGCGCAGCGCGCCGCTCCGCCCTGCTGTCCGCCGCCAAGCGCGCCCGGCTCAGGGCCAAGCCACCTAGAGTCAGATTTGCTGATTCGGTACAACTCAACGGCGCGCCCATGTATCCGGTGAGAGATCCAATACAAGCTGTATTTAAACAATTCAATATGCAATAGATGCTGCTAATATTTGGTGCCCAGTGTTTACAGTACCACTATTATGCGAAAATAATTCTCATAATATCAAAAGTTGACATCAGATTTTATATTTTTCAGCCATCGGCATTCTCTCTGGGCGATCTCTGTCTACCTCCGATGGCGAACGTTCTAAAGGTGTTTCTGGAGAACGGGCAAACAAAGTCGTTCAAGTACGACGCGACGACAACGGTCGCAGACGTGGTGGCCAGCCTCAAGGATAAGCTGTGCATCACCGCGACGGAACACTTCAGCCTCGTTGTAGAGCATGTTAAGAGTCTCCGGAGGAACAAGCTGACGCTGCTTGATCCTAAGGAATCCTTGGCGAGGGTCAGTTACACAATTATAGGCAAACCAGTCCGCTGATATGAAATTATTATTATATTTAAACACTATTCTACAAAAAAGCGGTAGTCCTTTGATAGTCGACAACGGTTGACGTCACGTCATTAAAATGATGTCATAATATTCAGTGATGTGCTCTAACAAATCAATATGACATCACTGTTTTTGCATCCCAAATCAACAATGACATTTATTTATTGTGATACGTTATTAGTTACAGTTGGTTTTAAGTCGTAGTAGGGTCATATTATACAAAGTCGGTGAATTGTGTTGAGGTCATTTTACTGTTCAGATCGCAGCGCGGCCGGGCTCGCACAAAATGCGGTGCCTGTACCGCGTGGTGTTCGTGCCGAGCTCCGCGGGCGAGCTGGCGCGCCGTGACCTGGCTGCGCTCGACTACCTCTACGTGCAGTGCTGCAACGACGTACTGCAGGAGAGGTTCGCGCCCGAGCTGCAGCCCGAAGTGGCGCTGCGCCTCGCCGCGCTGCACGTGCACCAGCATGCCCTGGCCAACAACCTCTCCCCGGCCAAGCTCACCGTCAAGACTGTCGAGTGAGTCGTCTTAAAGATCTATAACTACAAAGATCTCTCTTTTTATGTCATTTTCTATCAAGTGAATTAAAGTACATGGTGTAGAGTGTAAAGTATAATCTCACCCCTTTTTCTATATCACTTGCTTCTCTTCCTGTAATATTACAATGTGGAGAGTAAGGAATGTGCATCTCTCGCAGACGCGAGTTCGGTCTGGAGCGTTTCGTACCGGCGGGTCTGCTGGAGGGCATGCGGCGACGCGAGCTGCGGCGGCTGCTGGCGCATGCGCTCAAACTCAACGCACACATGACCGGCCCTCAGCGACAGCTCACACAGCTGCAGGTACGGTACTACAGCAGACACGCGGCTTAGTTCATCATACAACATTTTCACTGTTATCACCATGGTTACAGGCCAAGCTGCATTATCTGGACATAGTGGGGGGATTGCCAAGCTACGGCGCCAAGTGCTTCAGCTGCGCGCGCCCCGAGCGCGTGCTGCTTGTCTCCCCGCGCTTCGGCCTCAGTCAGATCCTCGGCAACAATAACGCAGTGGTAGGAAAGATCCGCATAAACAAACAGAAATCCCGCTTCAGATTTCAGGTCTGCGATGTTGTATAATCATCATGTTGTTTGTTTGTGTTGTAGCCGCAGTCGATAGCTTCGCTGGAGGAGGTAGAGTGTGTGCGCGTGCGCCGCGAGGGCGGAGGCGGGGGCGGGGGCGGTGGCGTGGCCGACGTGGCCGTGTTCCTGCGACGCGACCGCGTGCTCGCATTGCTCATGGACGAGCGTGACGCCGCTGAGATGCCGCTCGTCATAGCCGGGTAACTACACTGATTTTTGATTACATATTTAATTGATGGTTTAGGTATTTTGTTGCGATTTGACGCCTATTTTGTTTTAATTTCAGATATTACCGTCTTGCTACAGGCAAAGAGCTTAATGTAGAACTAGAAAGGGAGCCTATCACTGAAGATATTGGTAAGAAGGGAAATTAATACAGATTTCAATAACAATTGTATAATTTAGTAAGAATTAACGTCAATTTGATTACATTCCAGCACCACCATACCTGTCACAGCACAAGGTTGTGCCAGCGAAATGGAGCTACCTGCACCACGACAGCACCGCGGAGGTCGCCAGAAAACATTTCGCGATATTCAGCATGCCGCCGCCGTACCACGCCACGCCGGAGACCTCCAAGACCAACTTGGACACCAACATGAACACCAGCATCGCCAACAGGAACCACAGCAACACCTCCAGCCCGCTAATAGGCTACGACTCCAAGGCCGGTCTCCTCGGCCACGATGTACACTTCGAGAAATGCAGGAGAAACGAGGACTTCAGATTATTCGATCCAAACGACGCCTGCTACCTCGAGGATGGCATGGGCTTCGATCTTCAAAGTGTCCTGTCCCTGGAGCTCCTTGAGAATGCAGTCAACAACCCACGCTTGGTAGAAGCCAAGAACGAAGAAGTTCTCCGACGAGTTGAAGAAATGCAGAAGCTCGTTGAAAACTCCGAGCAGTATTTAACTGAGAATTCTGACGATTTCCATGAGAACGGCTACAACGACGGCGTCCTCAGTGACGAGATAGGTGGTCGGGAGACTTGTGTGGACCAGCCGGAGAGTGACACAGAATCCAATGCAAGCAGAATGTCGACGGCGGACGACGCCCCCGGAATACTGAAACACAGCGATTCCTTATTACTTTTGACCGAGACGATAAATCAAGGATTAAGCGGCTTGACCGTTGCGGAACCCGAAAAAGATGTTTCTAATGATTTAACAACAAGACAATCTCAAGGACTTAGCGCTATATTAAACAATTGTGGCCTCACGGATGCTTTACTAGCGCTAAATAATGACGTCAGTCAGTCTGAAAGCGATAATGATTCCCTTTACACGCCAACCAATAGTCCTATACGCAAGCATTTGAACAAGCCGGTTAATAAAGCGGTAAGAACCAGCTTCGGTCTGCATAGCCCGGACGCCACTCTAGATAACAAAGAACCGAACTTAAAAGAGTATCTGAAACAACTACGAGAGAAAAGTAGTAAAGAAGACTCAGCGGGAGCCGAGTTTCCATTTTACTACCAGGAGAGTCTGGTGGACAACGACGCAGAGCTTATAGATTTAACTTTGATCCCTCCACCTCAGACCCCCGATGAACTGGACAGCGCCACGCAAGTGCCCCAGATTTTACCTGTCGTTCCACCATCCTTTGCCGATGATAAGGAGAGTGCAGACGAGACTGCCCCGAAGAACGAATTGGAAGAATTTATTGCAAACGTCACCGTTCAGCCACCAACGGTGAAAATCACACCCGCTATTGAACTGACACCTGAAGAAATAATGTCCTACATCATCCCGCCGCCGCCCGCCTCCAACTCCTCGACTCTAGATAGAGAAAGCACTTACGTTAATCAAACTCAGGGCTCGCATGACAAAACTGATCAGGTTCCAACAAACGATGTGAAACCAAGTAACGGAGACGTGGTAAGAGGAACTTTGAGTGTCAGCGAAATACGAAACATGTTTGCGGCGAAAACACTCAGTGAAGCGAGGAACAGCCTTTTGTTGAAGGATAAAAGTAAAACACAAAACTTAGCTAAAACCGATTCACCAAAAGGTAAACGAAAAAGTATTATAGGAGAGAAGCAGGCCAATGGCGTCGCACATATCATTGAATATCCCACCGTAGAAAGAAAAGGTATGTTTTCATGTTGTAGCAAAGATAAGAGCAAAAACGACGACAGCTCCGAGGAGGCCGACAAAGTAGACGGCCACGTAGAGAACTCCGACACGATGCCCGATGTTTGCGAAATTAGACCTCCGCCTAGAAGAAAAAGTACCGAACTTAAAAAAGCCCCCGAACGACCGCCCAAGACCGCCCCGACCCCCGCCCCGCGGCCCCGCTCCAACTCCTTCACCTGCTCCAACAATGAACTGAGCGCCGTAGAAATACCTAACCATCAGTTCAGCACGTTGAACAACAGGAAGTTAAACTACAAAGTTGTGTGTGATATAAATGAGCAACACATCCAGCACCCTCCTCAGGTACCCCCTAGAATAGACAACAAAGTCCTTGCACCTCCGCCGCCCCTTCTATTACCCCCAAAGAAACCACCCCTGCCCCCGGTGCCGAGTATTGAAGTTTTAAGAATGAAAACTTCGCAGAAACTATCTCCGGTCCGCAACCCGGAGCAGCGCCTCGCTAGCATCGGTTCTCCTCACTTCCATCGGAACTTAAGCACCTACCGCAACCTCGAGACTGAGAGCAGACTGACAGATGACGAGTCGACTATCAGATCGTCGCAGAATTACAGTTCCTTGACGTTGCAGAGTCGCCATGTTAGGTCCAACTCTGAAACTAAAAGCACTATACTGAAAAACAAAGAAATGTCGACCGCTCTATCACTATGCTCGCCGCAAATGAACCGTCGGTTCAGCAACCGGCCGGATATACTGAACGGTGCGCCGGGAAGCGAGCATAAGGTGTTCAGTCCGCCCCTGTCTGAAAGGAAATCGTTTCGTCTAGACACCGCCAGCCCCACGCCCAAGACACAGAACCATGTGAGGTTTAAGGAGGACATAGTGGACGACATCCCGACACCTCCTTCGCCTCCCAGCGTGAAGTTCCCCGAGTTCCCCGCCGGCAACAACGGGCACGTGTCCCTCGAGAACCTGCTGTGTAAAACGGAGGCGGCAGTGGACGGTCTGCTGCAGCGGCTGCATCAGGCTGCACAAAAGTGTTCGCACCAGCATTCACACGGAGGCGGTGAAGACATCGACGAAGTCAAGTTCCAGGTAATTCCTCTACTTATGACATTTATTAAGATCTTACGAACGTCAATACAAATATTGTGTTTGGTTGCAGCGCGCCCGCAGTGAGCTGACAATGTGTGCAGTGTCGCTGGTGGGAACGTCGCGCACGCTGGTGGGCGCGCTGGGCGGCGGCGCGGGCGCAGCGCAGGCGCTCGCGGACTGCCTCGCCCCGCTGCGCCGCCTCGCCGACCTGGCACAGGTAATTTTATATTTCTTACCTTATCGCTTGTTACTACATTTGCTTCAATAAGTAGTACTTAAGGAGTAGCATTTGAGTAGTAAAAGACATTGTTATTTTCAGGCTCTAGGTAGACATACGTCATCACCTTTACAAACAAGGAACCTGGTGCTTCGAGTACATGACGTCACAGCCGCGTTCAAGGATCTGGCCGGCGCGGAGATGGCACAGATCATCCATGAGCACAACGCCAAAAGCCAGGGCCAGGGCCAGGAGACCAGCTCCACTCTCGAGGGTCAACTGGCGCTGAGGGCGGAATGCCTGGCTAACGTGCTGGCAACACTTCTGCGCAGTCTACGAGTGTTCTCTCCTTAATGTGGCTCTATGGCAGACATACCTTTGCCTAAAACCAACATAACGAAAAACTTTCTCGGTTGTGTTTGCATTACTTATCATATCAAAATCACTTATAAAATACTTCCCTTGGAATATTTGGTGATAAATCATATTTTATTGTAAGTTGTTTAATATACAAATATCACAATAATATTTAAAGGAACTTCTTATCTGTGCACAAGTACAGAACATGGCAACACTTATTAACCTGTCAAAACTGTCATTTCGTAATTTGTGCTGAATCGTGATAAGAATCACGAAATGAATCTCAACTCCGACTTTGAATATTGTTAACTTTATTATATTTTGTTAAGACATTTTTAACTGAGACCAAATAAATTTAGGTACGTTTATATTGTAGTGGGCTATAATTGCGTTTATTTAAGTTGTAGTTTTTGTAAATTTTAACGTTCGTTAATATTTTATATTAATTGTTGATATGATTCTGTTTGTGTAATTTTATAAGAATATTTATTTTAATTCGTCGGTATACAATATCAACGTATTCTGCTTTCCATGCTTTACTTGTAAAATAAAATCTTTTTAACCGAACAAAATATATGAATACCAGTTACGCAATAGAAATCAGCGAAGACTTATTTAATATTCTGTAATTCCGTAGAAGTGTTACCATAGTGAATAATTATTTTACTTATACATATCTATTTACATAAAAGTATTGTATATTTTTTAATGTTGTAGGTATGTGTGATCAGAAAAATAGGGTGCAAATTCTGTCTATGCTAATCGTTTATAATATAAAACAATAATTCTTTATTACCTCGTTATTTTGCAGCGTAAAATTTAGTGTTGCTAGTTGTAAAATTGAGTTATTTAAAAAAAAAAGTGTTGGAAGCGTCGACAGACGTTGTGCTGATATTTGTGTATTGGTGCTATTTTGAAAAAAAAAGCAAATGCGTTTTTGTATTGCGAACTAATTTTGAATTTTTTACCGCGGTTCTGCATTCGATTGCAGCTATTGAAATTTTATTTAAAACAATTCAGTTGTATTCGTAATGCAATAAAAAACATGAGTTCATTTGCACTGTTTTTCACCTGCGAAGTACAAGACAACGGTTCATTACCTGTACAGCAGCCAAAGACATTGTTTCTTCAGATTTTATTTTTATAAAGCCTCTTTCATTCTTTATTTAGCTTATTACTTGACGTAGACAGTGGATATAAAATCAATATGGACATAAATGGTGTTACGGCATACCTAAAGACTCAGTTAACTATTCAAGAGAGATTCCCTTAGTACTTTTGATATAAGCATTTTCTTTATTATTTGAGAAAGGGGGAAACGAGCGAACGGAACACCAAGTTAATTTGAAGGGACTGTTTTGAGTTTACATTTTTAACGTATTTTAAACAAGTTTTTTTTATTGCCCTACAATATAAAGACACGATTTTAAAACCTGAAATAAATATCGTTTATCTTCTAAAGAACTACACATATCTCTTGTAGCATTTGAAATATTAGTTAAAAATAGTAAATTTCTTTTAAAAGAAAATGTTTATATCGAAACTTCATAAAGGATTAATTAACTAACATTATATAGTTAAATAGTTAGCATACAAAGAAATATTGTATCACACCAATTTATTTATTGTTTTAAAATTAAAATAAAAAAAATAATAATGCGACGCATTTGATGTAATAAACAATTTAAAACCATTTGTTTGTTTTATTTTAATACTTTATTTTACGCACGAATGTGTAGCGCCTGCGAAAAAAATATAGCAACAGTATCCATTATTTTTTGCGGAGCATTGGATTAAACTCTTGATAATAAGACATAACGCAGCATAAAGGGATAAATATAACATTGTAATATGAAAAAAAAAATGTAACTATTCCTATAAATGATCTCTACAAAACGATAAACAAATCGGAGCACCCAACAGGCTATCTAGATCTATTCTTTTGAATTTCTCAAGACAAAACTACTTTAGACCCGCGGCTACAGGTCCTAGTGTAGACTAGTTATTACATAAGCGTACCGCGGAGGGCAGGGTCCAGTCCAGTCTTATAATTATCACACGATTCGTTACAACCGGTTGCTCTGAGCAAAACATAACACATCTAACGCTTATTAAGCAATGGTTCTGTACATTTATAAACAATTTACAACAGATATTTGTGGAAAAAGATTGAAAAATACCCGATTTTCTGCAACCACCAACCTATAAAGAAACATTTAATAAGTCACAAACGATGAAAAAAGACTCAAAGAACGTTTAAATGTTTGTAAAATTCTGATAATTTAAAAGTACAGTTTACTAGTTTTTTCATTACTTAAGATATGTTATGAATCTAAAATCTAGAAGTAACCCTCGCTGACTAGTTGTCGTAGGTTCGCTGCAACCAGATGTGCAAAAATAGTTCATATAACTTGGTGTTTCAACCAAAGCTGCACAACTCTAAGCTCCTTATATAAGCTTAGTTTATACAAAACTACACATTTCAGAAGAATTAATTCATTATTAGAAAATATAGAATTATATTAAACGAGCTGTTGCCCGCGACTTTGTCCGCGTGATATTAGAATACATACAAACTATATAAATTACAAAAAGTTACGTATCCCTCGGGAACCGGACATTTCTCGGGGATGAAGTTTATCCCGTGTGTACTCCAGACTTTGTTTTATATCTGTGCCAAATTTCAATAAGATATGTTGAACCGTTGCAGAATGATCGAGTAAACATTAAGAAACTAAATTAATGAATACCACGGGAACCGTAACTATTCCCGGGACAAAAAGTAGCCTATGTGTTCTTCCAGACTATGCTCTAAACTTGTGCCAAATTTCATGGACATCCGTTCAGCCGTTTAGGCTACAAACGCTAACAAACATCCATCCATCCATCTAAACTTTCGCATTTATAATATTAGTAAGAAGTAAGATTATTTAGCGTTGATGTCTTTTCTTTGCAGAAAACTATAATAGTTTAATGGTTCGTTCTCAACAGTATGTATGCATGGACATTAGATATTACGAATTTACAAAATAACTCTCAATGAAATTAGGCACAGGTGTAAAACAAAGTCTGACATACTACATACTATATTTTTGGTTTCGCGTGGCAATAACTATTCTTAGGTAAACTGGAGAATAGAAGATTTAACTCATCGTCAGCATTTAGCTATTTCTTCTTAGCTGACGTAATAACACAAAGCTAACTTCTTAACTTCTTTTAAACACCTACAATAAGTTTTTCGCCTAGCGAAGAACGCTAGGGCGTTACCTAGTCAGCCTAGCTCTCGCTAGCCCTCTAGCGAATATTTACAAATAAGGCTAGAATCGTGGTGTAACGAACCCGCGCCATGTTTTTTCTCTCCTGTCAACTCACCGCGTGTTTGATGGAGTCACTCATTTAACGACATAAATATAAATATCACTAAAAGGATTCAATTTATTTTTCAACACATAAGTAATTTACCTTTAGATACTTTGTTGTAGATTTGATATAGTGGATAGGAATATTTAAAAAAATGGCGGCCGTATAGATGCGGAGTTTTGTAGATCGGTTTAGCTGAAGATCGTAGATTGGTAGCGATTTTTATTCTGTATACCATTACCTATTGAAGATTGTTGAATATTACGACAACTTGAACTTTTAATAGCTCTACATGTGTGGCCTTAGTTCCTTTTTAACCTTTGAATAACCAGCGACATTTTTTACATTCAAGTAGAAATTAGAGTCTTCAAAGCATACTAATATTTTTCGGTTTCTTAGTTTTAATCAATAAAGATTGTGATAAATCGCTAGTTAATTTATTGTAAGAGATAGCAATATTTTGAAAAATAATCGTAAAACGCTAGAGAACTCTAATAACTATTGCTACTAACTACTGTATAATAAAAGTCATGTACTTCTTGTTACATTGTAGGAATATTATAGAAAATTGTAGCCGTAAGTAGCAGGTAGGGGATACATGTTAATGCTCCAGCGCGGAGACAAGGACTTTGTAAATAATTTTACTCGATGTAATTCATCGGCGAGGTAATTTTCATCTAGTAAATTATTGAAAAAAAGCTAAAAATAACTAATTGATGTCGATACGTCTACTGAGTGCTTATCCGTTGGTATTTTGTGATCAATGTTTGACGGTATTTAATTAACCTGCTCTTATATGTAGTGTAATTAAAACTTAGACAGTTTAATCTTACTTAATATTATAAGTGCGAAAGTTTAGATGGATGGATGGATGGATGGATGGATGTTTGTTAGCGTTTGTAGCCTAAACGGTTGAACGGATCTGGAAGAACACATAGGCTACTTTTTATCCCGGGATAAGTTACGGTTCCCGTGGGATTCATTAATTTAGTTTTTTAATGTTTACTCGATCATTCTGCAACGGTTCAACATATCTTATTGAAATTTGGCACAGATGTAAAACAAAGTCTAGAGTATACATGGGATAAGCTTAATCCCCGAGGTGTCCTCTTCCCGAGGGATACGTAGCTTTTTGTTATTTATGTAGTTCATATTTTTTCTAATACCACGCGGCCGAAGTCGCGGGCAACAGCTCGTTAATAAATAAAATATAAAAAAACTGTGAAAAGTTGTTAAAAACCTGTATTAGTAAATCAATTAAGAACATTTAAGTTTAAAATAGCTGTTGCCCTCGACTTCGTCCACGCAATGTTAAGATAAAGAATTAGATTATAAGTTGCCTGTCTATGTCCGCTAACCTTAAGTGAAAGTCCGATCAAAATCAGTGTAGCTGTTTCGGAGTTTACCCGTAACAAACGCGGATTACGGACAGACAGACACACAAAGAATTTTCAAATGCAATTTTCGTTATTAGCAACGCAAATACGTCAAATCTGGAATTTTTCTTTTGATATAACAAACAGACGCTACAATTTTATTACATATATAGATTAAACTGATTTAGCCTTTAAAAATATTGGTTGGCTCATATAACAATTTTTACATGGGATTATTACAAAAATTCTAAATGACGTAACATAAGATCGGATGGAATACAAAATTCCATTTATTAATTTGATAGAAATAGATTGATACGCACCCTGCATAAAAAATATCAGAGTAACTAATT